CTGTGACCGTATTACTCAGTGGACGTGAGAATGCGATCCATTAATGATGTCTATGAGAGGCACAGAGAATGGGGGTGAGAGAGAAGGACAAAACTGAAAGTGTGTCAAGAATGTTTTGCCACCCTTGATTTAGGCGAAAGGCTTGATGCTTTGTGCAAGTGTCATGGGAACAAAAGCCTGCCCAATATGTTAAAAGTTTACTCTACAGTGAACTGGTGTCCAGAAAATGCGTGTATAATCCCATAAAGGGCTTAAAAAGGGACGGCAAATATCTCCAATATAAATGCAGATTACCTTTATTACAAAGTTGGACCATATTCTCATTTCTACACTAATTTCCTATATCATAAAACCTATATTCAATTTTATAAATAGCATACCACAAGAATCATAAATTCAGCTAATGCAGAAATTTAACAGATTTTTTTTTAATAAAAGTGAGAAAAGGCTGTTTTAGGCAAGTATCAGAAAGGACAGAAAGGGTTCTACCTTTGAAGATATGTTTTTTCCCTGCGACTTTACCTCCTTGGGGACATAACTAGAAAAGAAATAAATTTCACAGCTAATATATATGAAGTAACATGTTTAACATTATCCAATGAATTTGTATCCACCTACACCATATAAATTTATCTCACATAAACTGTCACCTCCAACAGAATTCATTAAAACAATGTTATAGCTTCTGAATTAAATGTGGTCTTCTAATTGGAATTTAATCTTACAGTAGTAGTCGGTGAGGTTTTTTAATTGACAAATGGAATAATTCATTAACGTGCCTTACAGTTCTGTCTGGAGAACGTAAAAGCAAATCTGACACAGACGCTGGCTGGCCACTTCTATGAGGGACAGAGGAGCAGGCGGAGGCTCCTTGGTCATCTCTGAATCTTACCCGTCGCCTGTGCAGGATGGGGTGGACACTCCTTACCCTCCCGAATCACTGTACTATGTTACTAATATATTCCATTACCTCCACATAAATGTCCCACTCATTTCTGATCTTCATCAAGCCACACAATGGTTTCCACCACTGGCGCCCACCCAATTAGCTATATGGAAAATATTCAGCCGACTACATTACTTGTATTCGCTTAGGGATTGGAGAAAAGAGCAAAATGAATGCCTTAAAAATACTTGCGAGAGAAAATGTAAGCTGACACTGTCTCACACACTGGAGCCCGAGTTATACACTCTGATAGGCAGCTGCCAGCACTCATAACTGCTTATTAAATCTAGCCTCTCTTTATGGTGTGAGTGAGGATCTGTATTTTTACCAATATTAGGTTCATTGTGTTATGAGAGAAACCAAAATACTTAAGATCATTCGCTCCAGCTTATAAAACATATTGTGTAGTTTATTAAATTGTTAAAATTACTTTTCAAAGTCAAAATTTCAGGGGCTGGAAGTTGAAGTTCAACAAAGTGGCTTGGCCCACTGACGGGATGCAGCCCGGGGCGGCAGGAGACACCTCAGCCGGTGCTCTTCTCCAGAGCACTGGCCAATGGCTTCCAAATTTTCCCATAAGTATGCATGGCCACGACTGGGCCCCCAAACCAATGACAGAAAACAATTCTCTTTCTCAGGTTTTATTTAAAAACCATGGACTTCTCAGCCCAAAAGTTGCCCTTGCCACATCTCATGTGCAAACCATGTATTTTTCCATGTTTGTACCTCTTTCAAGAAAGTCGAAAACTAAGAATATGATTGTGGGAAAGAGCGAAAGAGAAACTATACACAATAAGGGAAAACAGCTGTGGGCACACCAGACACAATGCCACATGACACTTCAACCCTCACACCCAATCCACACACCAAAGCAGGGGACAGCTTTTCAAAAGGGACAATGCAATGCCACAGCAAAGCTTGACAAGCCAGCACCTTCACCATCCTCAGTCAACTCTTCTCAGGAACACTCTGTGCAAATCCAGATTTACTGTCACATTTATTAATAACACTGGGGCTAACCACCTATGAAATATGCAGCAGGTCCAGCCCCTCTTCCCTAATGGAATCCCAGGATGTGTATCATGTAGGTACTAACTTCAAGCACAGCTTTGCACCAGGGGAACCAGGCTCTCCTGGTGAAGGGTGGCATTAAAGAACCAAAGTACACAGGCACCCTGCTTCCTGTTCCCTGTCCCTACATAAATTCACTGCCCAAGTAAGTTATCACCCACAAACACTGTGTACATCACCTATTTTGCCATAACAATGTATCCATGCAAACCTTGTGTCTACTTCTTTCTGTACCTGACTGAGCAGTCTGCTGTTCTGGCTGCCAAACCCTCCGACTGACCAACTCTATGGAGAGAATAACTTCCACAGAACACTGTCACTCACAATAAGAATTTATTTCAACCCCGAAGACTCCAAATTTTTGGCTGTAACAATTAACAGGTACTTTTCTTGGTGACTCAAAAAACTGTAAAGTTCTAAAAGGCATAGGTCTCAAGAATCAGGATGAATTTGAGCCTGAATGTTGGAATGTACTATGTTGTGCTTTTTGCATAACAGGTTTTGTTGAATGTTTCTTTAACATTAAATTTTCTTAAACTACTAGATAGATAGATAGATAGATAGATAGATAGATAGATAGATAGATAGATAAAAGGCATAGGTCTGTGCATAAATTTCTGATAATGGAAGGATGAACAACAAATCAGATGCACAGGGCCTGGAAGGCCCAGATTAGGGCAGCACAGAGGGACAGAGTGAGTCTGTCCCCTAGGGAAAACTGTGGAGGAGGATAAACCACCAGAACACATGCTCCAGCTTGTGTATTTCATGAACTTCCAACTTTCAACTAAAAATACAGCAAAAGGAAGTTTATTACAGCCTGATAAAGGTAAAATACTTCCTTTGAAAATAATGCTATTCAATTAGGCCTAAGTACTATTTCTCTTCAAAAGAGATATATTATAGTCCTTCACACTGATTCCTTCAATAGTGGCCCTTACCTGGCTAAAATTAATGAGTAAGATGAGCCTAGTGTTCAATAAATCCATTCATGTGGTTTTGTTAAATTTCATGCACCAAGTTTTATGACAGTGAGAAAGTCAGATTCTCAATACAAAAGACAGAAGTCACGGGCCATCTAGAGCCTGAGTTTGGTGCTACTTCAATAAAATCCCAAAGGCTTCTATGAGTTCTCATGTGTACATGAGATAAATTAAAGCTTTGTTTTCAATACCACCTACACCGTCAAAGAGACAAAACTCTTTTTACACATGCTCTTTGCTCACTGATCTGCAGACCATTCATGAAAGCCTATCCCACCGGTGTAGCACTGGAACCCACAGGCAAACTGCTCAGGGAGGGAACCAATGGGTGTGCCCAAGACCATGGGTGAAATAGATGATCCGAGAACTCTCACACTTCTAAGATCCCACGGTTCCATCAACCATTTCTTTTCACTGTGGAAGTCCTTACCCCATGTGTTTCTGTTTGATATTCGCTTTGTCTCTGGCCAATAAAAGAGAGACTATTGTGTCAAAGATAAAATATTTCATTTTTTCCCTCCATTTCTTATCTCCAGAAGAATGAAATGAAAAGTACAAAGAGTTATGAAACAAAGTAGTCTACATGGAAGTGAACTTGAAAGCCAACCACATCTGTTATTAAACCTGGGCTAGCTGCTTTACTAGTGTTCCTTTTCTGTCTATGAACTGGGGGGAGAGGATCCAAATCACCTCCAGCTATAAAATATTTTAAAGTCTGGCCCAAATAAATACTGTACCTGGGTACACAACAGTCAACACTATACTCATTATCATCTGAAGAGGTTGATTAGGGATGCCTTAATTGCTATAAATCAGATAGGCTAGAAAAAAAAAATCACTGATTGAAGACCAAATAACTGAGTCCACTCCTAACTCAGCCCATGGTGGGCTGTTGGAAAGGCCACTATAAACTTAGGAAACTTGGACAATTTCTAGGGCTTTGTCATTACTGACAGACTAGGAGTCTCTAACCTGTATGCTTTCATTTTGTACATAGAAATTAAAGAAGAGAAAGACTAATTTTCTACATGTCAGATAAGTATTGAGTTTCCCAACTTCCAATACAGTGGGGACCTTTTTCTTCCGACATTTCTCTTCTCTAAGCAGAATGTGTTTTGACTAGAACTTCATTAAGGCAACATGAATTTGTTTGATGTCAATGGTTGTTACCATTAAATGTCATTCAATACACAAAACCTAAAATGAAGTGGTGCCCAATAAAATTGACCTCTATGACAAAGCTACCACTGAATGTGTCAGCGTTCTCACTCAAAACACCTTGCCTCAACCAATTATTGTTACTCATAAGGACAAGTCACAATGGCTCATTGCTAAAGGGCCTCACTGATTTGAGGGTCAGGAAAGGTACAACTGAATATGAAAAACACTCAGATCAGAAAAATATAATTATGTCTCTTATAGTTCAGTTTCAAAATTTTAAGGTATAACCTGGCTAAGCAAACGCTGATAGAAACAAATCCTTAGGATACCTCTGAGAATCTAGTCTCCAACCCTGTGCTTTTTCACAAGCCCTACCACATGAAATGTTTGGATGAGATGGTCTCAAAGAACAAAAGAGACTGGCCCTGTCCACAAAAGTTGAGATGAAGCAATTGTAGTTCTACTACATGGTTCATATTATCACCCAGCTGTGACAGACTCCTTAAAGCAATGACTTTCCAGGCCTGATAGCACACACTTGTTACCCCAGCACTCTGAGATGCTGAGGCAAGAGGATCACAAATTCAAACCCAAGCTGGGCAACTTAGCAAAAACTTGTATCGATATTTTAAAAATGGAAGAGAGCTTGAGATGGAGCTCAGTCAAAGGGCATGGGTTCAAATTCCCCCATAATGAAAAACAAAAAACAGTGGTGAATGTGGTTTGTAAGTTAGACATTCTGCCCTTCAGAGGAGAATCTCTTACTCTCCGTGTACATTGTACTTATGGACTGGTTGTCTTGGGACGTCTCAGGTGAATAATCACCAATGTACACTCACCCTTTGGGCTCGAAGGCATCACATCCATCCACTCATGGCTGATGACAAATCGAAGAAGGGATCGAAGGCCTCACCATTGCCAAAACTTTTTGTTTGGAAACGAGAATTTTCAGCAGAAGCGCCTGGGACACTACAAAATAAAAACATTTTTTACACATAACTAAGACGTAACTTGTAAAACCACCACTTCCTTAAACTCAAAAACAGCAAGACACACATAGAACCTAGAGGTGGGGGAAAGCACCTTTCCAAAGAGGGTATGTCACGCAGCAAGTGTGAGCTGCCACAGAGGACCGGAAATACGGTTTTCAAAAGGTACACTTAACTTGAATAATACACAGTAGGGCTCTTATTTACTGTGGACTTTGTACCACATATTTTAAATACTTTATCACTGCAAAACTATTATATCCTATTATACAGCGTTGGGTAAAAATAAACCCCATTTTCAGGTGTTCACACAAATCTTGCCCAGAGAAACACATTATTTCTATTAAGTAATGATCTTTTCCAAAGGACAGGAAAAATTACAAATATTTTAATACCAATGATATAAAATTACTTTTAAATAACAATGAAGACTAAAACTGGTAAGAGAGGAAACTACTGTGATATTTTTCCTCCAAAATTATCTTATTTCATTCTTAAAATAGTTATGAATTCCACAGGGATCAATAGGATGCAGCGCTCTATAGAGCAGTCAGGGAACTTTTGGCTTCTTCTAAGCTTCCTGATTAAAAAGAGGATCGTACTTTGAATCATTCATGCTGACCTGTCACCAACACCAAAGATCAACTGTGCGCAGACAGCCCTACAACTGCTCCGAAGGGTTCTTACACTGGCGTTAGGGCCCAGTGCTGGTGAGCTGGCCCTCTGTGGCTAGCAGCATTCACTGTGTACCTGTGGAAGGCTTCGGTTGCTCTCCAGAAAGCACAGCTCCAACTCCTACAGAAATCTGTCCAAATGGAATCTAATGCTTCTTTAAATTCAGTGTATAGAACATCACTTGGAAAGATTTTCTAATACAGATTCTGGGGCCCCTATCTAAATACACTAACTCAGACTTAATTCTGGAGTACAGCCTGAGCTTCTGCATTTCTAGCAACTTCCAATGAGGTGAGAACACTCCAAACACCCTTGAGACCCGAGACTCTCCAAAGGCTCTCCAAAGCTGTGCAGTCTACATCACAGAACAAAATAAAATGGGCTTGAGTTGTCCCCCATCTTTTGAATGAAATCCAACCTTCTTTCAACTTGGTCCCACATAATCTGGTCCTTGTCTGCTTCCCTGATGTTGTAGGCAGTTGAGTTAGACAGAAATATTATAGGCAGTCAGAGCTGGGCACTCAAAGGACCCAGTGGAGAAGATGGGATATCTTAGAAATGGAGAGAAGGGTACCTCACCTGTGGGCTAGATCTCAAGAAAAAAGATGAATCAAATGCACCCACACACCTCCCTAGGGATGGACCTCAGCGATTGATATTCTAAATGGGTTATCAATCACCTAGAAAAAGCCAGGAAGTCACTAACCCAACCCCCTACAGCAAAAGCCCTTATTCTGCATTCATTTCCTTGACTTGCTTTCCCATTTGATCCCAATTTAATCAATCTTACCTGAGTAATGGTGCTTGCAATCTTATTGGTTGACCACAGTTTTGTCCCTCTTCATGCCTATTTTGGAATTTCCCATTTTTCCCCATCTCGCTTTTATCTCACCTGGTGGTTCTGCTCTATAAAATCCCTAGGAAAGACAGGGCCCTTAGCATCCCCTTCTGTCCTTCTCTTGGACAGAAACTTTCCTTCCCCTAACAAATATATTCTGCTCTTAACCTCTGTTGTTCCTAAAATTCATTCTTCAATGTTAGAGAACACAAACTCAACCCAGGTATCTTTGAAGCTGGGAGTTTCTTTCCACTATATCAATATGACCTCACATCACCAACCCAATCCTTAAGTACGAACAAAACAGACCCACTGGCTTCTGTCTGCTTCAAGGAAGCCGATGTTTCCCTGCCTCATGCTTGTGTCCTCATGACTCCTGCACCTTAGAGGCCAGAACCTACTCCTTACCCAAGGGGCTCTTCTCATTGCTGGGTTCTGAAGACAGGAGACACATCAAAGCCTTCCCCCCCCCCCCCCCGCTTAAACTCTGTCTCTACTCCAGCTCACCACTTGCTCCCTCGGGATCCCTTGGCATCATCTACAAACTTTAACCTCTTCTATCCACCTAGCTTCTTCGTGTGTGTGTGTGTGTGTGTGTGTGTGTGTGTGTGTGGAACCGGGGATTGAACTCAGGCCCTTGTGCTTGCCAGGCAAGCACTTATTCTACTGAGCCATCTTCCTGGCCCTCACCTAGCTTCTTGAGACACTATAAGCTCCTTGAAATAAAGGAACTCTGTTTTTGCTGATCACTATACTCCAAAACCTCAGAAAAGGGCCTAGCTCATAGCAAACAGGCAACAAAATTTTTTAGACTCAGTGAATGTATCAAAGATTAAAAGAATCATTTCTTCAACAATCTCTAAAAGTATAATTGCCATTTACTAAAAACTTACTATGGGCAAGACACTATTTTAAGGATTTTACAATAATTATTTCATTTTAGTCTATGAATCCAGCAAAGCTCCTACTAGATATCATATTATCAGTTGTATATACAGAACACTGCAGCATTGAAAGTTCTAGTAGTTTGACTCTCTAAGCTTGTTCTCATAAGAAATTTATATGTTTCCAGTCACTATGCTCAAGTGAGTGGTGACCGTGTGTCTTGTAGAAGACACTTAACCTTTCTGAACGAAAGCCATGATGGTGGGCAGATGGGCGGGGGGGAGCTGCAGTAAAGTTGCAAGAACAAGAAAGGAATGAGGTGGACTGGAGAACCCTGCTTTTCCCAGTTCACTGAAGAACACACCCTCTGGTTGTCAAAAGCCTCCAATTCTACAGACAAGGACAGTAAGCCAGATTTCCACTTAATGAATTTCAGAATTTTTCATAGATGGCACCTAATTTTTTGATAGTTTACATGCATAAGACAACTTGCACTACCAGAAACAAAGTATTCATAAGATTACTTCCCGCCTCCAGTTCTGGCTCCTCGAGCCGTCCAGAGGCACACAGAGTGGTGGTGCAAGGGAACACAGGAAGGAGACAGCAGGTACCTGGACAGAGGAGGGCTTCCCAGAAGAATGAACTTGAGCAAGTTGCATAAGAAACTAGGAGATGAAGAGGAAAATAAAGGCACAAAGTCAGAAGACCTACTGGGCATATGTGGTGAGCAGATCACCAGCCAAGGACAGCCAGGGAAAAAGAGAGCAGGAGATGTCTGTAGGAGGTCAATATTCCTAATGAATTAGAGCACTGGCAAGTATGTAACTCAGATGTGAACGGTCAGGCAACACTCTGAGAGTATGCCTGTAAGTGCCGTTTTGCCTGACATCCAATATAGTAAAGTAAGTGACCATGCATATCCAAAAATAAAAGACCAGTCACCACTGGTGCTTGTGGAATATTTTTGTTTTGTTTTTATGTGTGTTTAGTTGAGAACCCAACAGAGGCAGGACCGAATTCCATCTCCGAGCAGTTCTATAACTAGCCAAAATACTTAACTGCTTTGAGCTCTACAAAGGAAAAATACAGCAAGTAAAATAAAGAAAGACAGATATCCATATAAATTATCCAGAACACAGCCTGGGGGCAGAAGCTGTCTACCTGGAACTGAATACTCAGAAAAACTATCTTTCAAAAATGAAGGTGAAATAAGAGCTTCTCAGACAAAAAGAAGTTTATCACTTCCTCTATATGGACATTCTAAGACTTATTTCAGGCTAAACAAAAAATGATTTCAGGAGAGAAGTTATTTGATTTTAAAAAAGAAAGGAAAATCAAAGTAAGGGGGTATGTGTAAGTAAACACCAAGTAATACATTAGTAAATCGATGGACATACAGGTTTTAGAATTAAAAATAGAAGGTTCCCGAAGCCCTCCCAGCTCATTTATTTACACTGCAGCAGCATCAGTCACAAGCACCAGCTTGAAATGCAGATTCCTGTCCTCCACAGCAGAGAGACGCTCAGGTGGGTTCCAGAAATCTGCATTTCTTCCAGATACCCCATGAACTCCAGAGAGGGTCTTACCGCCACTGCACTGCCAGCTGACCAACCCCCTCAAGCAAGGACCTAAGTGAGCCACTGGGGCTGCAGACACCAGCCAGCCTTTGTTCTTTTCCGCTTCAGTATGGCTCAGGAACACATTGGCTCAGGAAGTCCTGTAACCCTGCCTCATACTCGCTAATCAAGAGCTGCAATAAATTAAAAGCCCATTAAAATATTTTACAGAAAAGCCAAGAAGTGCCGAAGCATTAATTGTGCCATATTCAATCTGTTTTCCTAGAGTTTTGAAAAGCCAGATTACCATTCTGGGGGTCATTAGAAAGAATGAAGCTTCCTCCCTCTCTAATTTACATATCCAAAAATGCATACATTCTGGCATTGGTCACTAAGTCCCTGCCAAGGTATTCCAAGGCCTGTGGCTACTCCAAGGGCCACAGTCTAGCTAGAGAAAGAACTCTACTACACCAGGGAAACTGCCTTGATTTTTTGTTTTTTAAAGCAAGGGAACCAAAGTTCAGGGCCTGTGGTTGCAAAACAGCTCAGGGAAAACAGGTAAAGACAGCAACGAAACAACAGTGATGTTTTCTTGTTTTGTTCTCCCCTGTTTATTTTTCCCCAGAGCAATTCCTGCTCAGTACAAAAGTCTGCAGGGAGCTGGAAAGAGCAGCTGTGGTTCCCTGAGGCCAGGACCCAGCAATCAAGTTGTTTACCAAATACTGCCAGGCACCGGGAAAACAACAACAGCACAGGCTGCAAGTGCATCTATTTTTCAAAAACAACCTCCCAAAGTCTGCAGCTGCCCGCATAGCTGAGAGGAAAACTCAGAATATAAGGAATGCACTGCACTGGGTTCTGGCCCCCACAGCCTAAATATAATACATGACTCCCTTTCTACAAAGACAGCCTATCCTAAAAAGGGAAGCTGCGGGTCTGGAGAATTTCAAGCCATAGATTGATATGAAAGGGCATTTCCAAGCGTGCTACTACTGGAAATGTCATATGCTAAGTCTCCGGCACCTC